GTTGGTTTGTTGACAACATGCTCTGCTGTTGATGACGAGCTCAAGGGCCAATTTTTCAATGACATGCTCTAATGTTGGTGACATTCTCAGGAAACAATTTGTTAACAACATGCTCTAATATTAGCAACGCACTTGTTAACGATATGGTATAATGTTGAGGACTTATTAATGTGTCAATTTCTCTACTATATGCTCTAATATTGACGATGTGATGAGGCACCAATTTTTAATTACATTATCTAATACCAACAACATGCTTGAATACCAATAACATGTTGAGGTGTCTATTTGTTAATGACATGATCTAGTGTTGATGATGTGTTGGGATGAAGATATCATTTCTTGATGAGCATCATTCCACACAATATTTATTTAAGGAAAAACATGTCATCAATTTAATTACTACATGTTATTTTTTCAAAGATTTTTGTTACGGATATTTATCTCTTTAAGTTCTTATTTCACATTCAACTTCTCCTATTCTTACATTCATTCTCTTTTTGCATGGTTAAGTTCGTTATTCAAACTTTCAAGTATAAGTTCTGAGATGAATTTTAAGTTTTTTATGAGTATTTGTAACTTTTATCATAAGTACCATGCATGCTTAGTGTTTATAGAGAATTTTATTGTAACTTTACTCCAATGAGTGGGTTAGCTTATGCATGAAAAGTGTTCTTGTAAATTATGTTTTTGCTTAACTCAAATGTTTGATTCTATTTAAGATTTAACAATCGAGTCTTCATCAATTGAGGTTGATGATAATTAACTCAAACAATTTTTTATCAGTCGAGGCTGATGACATGTAGTTGATCAAATCTTCATCAATTAAGATTGATGACATGTAGCTAGTCAAATTTGGTCTCATTAGATGAGTCTAATTGTACCTTATCGGGCATAGTTGATGACATGTGGCATAAGTTGAGTCTAACTTCACAAGATGAGATGATAACATGTAACAAGTCTTATGTGTTCTTTTAAATGATGTGTTTCCCGATTGAATTTGAGCTTTACCGGATGACTTTAATGACTAGTTGGTATGTTGTCCTTACACGATTAGTTGACTAATTAGTATTATAACTATCAAATGACACATTGATTATTAGTTGGTTTGGTAACCATTAGACAAAATGTTGTTTGACTAGTTTATTAAGCTCACAACTAAATTTCTTACTAGTTGGTCCACTGAATATATATTTATTTTTATCCACATGATAAATCGAGGAGAGGTTGATATCATAGTATTCACACTCACAACTATTAGGAAAAAAAAACTAAGTTCAAGAGAGAGGTGAATTGAACTTTTTGAAAGAATTTTGTAAAAACTTTACTAGAATAACCAAGAATGGGAATTTTGTTAATCAATTGTTTAAAGATTTCAAAGCCAATTACATAATATCAAGACAATTGTAATAATGTAAAAGAGTAAAAAAAAAGAAGAAAGAGACCAAGATTTATATTAGTTAGCTCTTAACCAAGAGTTACATAACATTCTTAGCCATGCTAGTTAAGATTTCCACTAAAACAACCTAGTTTTTATAATAGTAGATCAACTTATCTATCCAAGAAGAGTTTTCTTGAACCATACAAGAAAAACACTGCCAATGACACCTTGCCACTAAGCAAGATCTAGAACCCTATCTAGAAATTATGGCACAAATCGTGATTAACAACAAAGGAATGAAAAGAACTATCACCCAGGAAACTAGCTAGTACAAGAGAAAATAGAATATTTAGGTGAAAACACAAAGTCTCTCCTACACTCAATAGTTGATCTTGAAATTTGAATAATAAAAATTTTAATAACTTTTCTTCAATGCATTTACTAATCTCTCAAAGTAAGGGAAACAATTTGAGAAAGATTGATTTAAAATCTTATGTCAAAAGGTTGAAAGATAAGAAAGTTATATAAAGTTGTACTAATAATTTTAATATGTTAATTTTCCTTAAATACGAAATTAATAAATTAAATATGCATTTTAACATATTAAAACAAAACGACAAAAAATCCTTTTGAAAATTTAGTAAGGTTTAAACATGTTAAAACAACTTAAAAACCTTTAAAATGATTAATAAAAATTTAATCGATTAAAAACTCATTTTAATTGATTAAAATTGAACCTCATAAACCACTTAAAGCCTTAAGTGCTTTTAATTTATTAAAATGAAATTTTAATCTATTAAAAAGGATCTCAAGAATATTTTAACATATAAATTTCTTTTTTCAAAAGTATCTTCAAAATCAAATTTTAAGAGGATTTTTAACCAAAAACCAAGATCAACCACTAATAGAAACACTTACATATAACCAAAACCAATAAGCCACACACACATTAAGTGATTTTACATCTTCATTCTTCATGAGAGAGTTGCATTCATCAAATCAAACAATACTTCAAGACTTATGTGTAGCAAAATCTTCAACAACAACTACTCATTAACCATAATATTACATAAATACTCAATTGAGTGTAAATCAAATAAAACCACAAGAGGGTTAAAGTGTGTTATAAAATGTTTTTCTAAAACTTTGCTGCAAAATAAATGTATCATGTAAAGTTTTTATTCAAAGTAGGTATTAGGCTCAAAGTTTAATGATATATGATCAAATGATAAGGAAAACAACTATACAATGATTGTAAATTAATATGTTCATGATAGATCACAATTCAAGCTCAATTATAAATATAAAGAGAACAACCATAGACAATGATCATAAAATTGATATGTCCATAAACAATTAAATCACAATTTAACCTCAATTATAAACATAAAGAAAAGGAAATTATTATAACTGTTTTTATGCTAGTTTGTTTCAACAAGAGACTATATCCAGTTCTTGATCAACTAGTTAAGTTCCACTAAACTAGTATTCTTCAAAGGTCATAGTGAAAAAATAATAACACAAGTATTCTTTTATATAAAAGCCTTTTCAACTTACAATACAAATATTCTTTCACAAACAAGTCACTCATTGCTTCTACACAAGTTTTTTTTAATAATTAAGTTTTTTCAAATTTTTACAAGAAAGAGTTTGAGATGGTAAACTCAAAGTTTGTTCAAACAAAACTTGGGTTTTAACATCTAAAAAGACAAGTATAATTATAAGTTCACTAAATCTAAGTCATTATAATATATAAATGGTTAAATAAGATGAAAAAGAGATAACTTAGCTAATGAAATATGGTAGTCAGATTTTTTGAACTAATACATGTGAACATTTGGGGTCCTGTTTCTAATACATCTATCAATGGTTTCCAATATTTTTTTTACTATGGTCGATGATTTTACACAATTTACTTGGATCCACTTTTAAGAAATAAATTTGTTGTGAAACCATTCTTCCATCTTTTGTTTAACTAATTGAAACACAGTTTACCTTAAAACTTCAAAAAATCAGGTCTGACAATAGTTAAAAAAAAAATTGCATGATTTTTTCTCCAACAAAGAGATTTTGTATGAGGTTTCTTGTGTTGAGACTCCTCTACAAAATGGTATTGTTGAGAGGAAGCATCAACACTTACTCAATGTTAGTAGTGCATTACTTTTTCAAGCAAATTTACTTCTCATCTCTGGTCTTTTGTTGTCAAACATGTCACACATCTTATCAACAGGCTTCTAACTCTTTCTTTACATCTTAAACACCCTTGTGAACTTATATGGTCATTTGCCTAATTTTCATTTTTTGCGCATGTTTAGTTGCTTAGCCTATGTTATTACCCTTACTTTTGCACACACCAAACTTGATAAACGTGCTTCCAAATGTATTTTCTTGGGTTTCAAAACTGGAACTAAAGGTCATGTTTGCCAATGTCGATTCTTCGTTACCCACATATTGATATTGTCAACAACATTATATATCAAACTAAATTTGATTGTCTGTTCACTATTGACACACCTCTTTTCAAACCCCCCCCCCTTCCCTTCCTACTACACACACTTCTTCACACATGCATGATTCTCTAAATTTTTCAAACAACAATGTGTCTTTACATCCTAATCAACTTCAAGTCACTAAATCTGATGCACGAGTCTCCACTCGAGTAAAGAAACCTCCTTCTTACTCACCTGACTATCACTGTCCTACTATTTCTTCCGTTCATTCTACTTCTTACTCACCATGATCATTCCTTCACAACTCTTTTGATTTTACGTAGATGATATTGTCTTAACTAGCAATAGTCTCTATTTCATTAATCAGGTCAAATAACACTTTCATGCTTAATTTCATATTAAAGATCTTGGTGAGCTCAAAATTTTTTTTTTTTTTGTTTTAGGTTGCTCATTCTCATTGTGGCCTTGTTCTTACCCAACACAAATACTATCTTGAAATTCTATCTGAATTTGATCTAGTTGACACTCTTTATGTCAAATTAAATACAAAAGATAGTGATTTTCTTGATGATCTATTAGTAAAGATATTTTCTACCCTATCTTGTCATAAAGATTATTATTAATTTAATATGATGTAAGAAATTTTTATAAAATAAAACAAACATAATTAAGAATATAGCCAATTTTTTTAATATATATATATATATATATATATATATATATTATTATTAAAACAGGTTATTTGATCACCTAATATTTAAGGTATTGACGATTTTCTAATTTATATTTTTAAAAAGGACAAGAAATTTTATCTACTACGACACTATATTAGTTTAAGAGATTAATTTTGATTTGATTGAAAATTAAAAAAAAAACATTATTTTATAATAATAATAATTAAATAAAAAATATTTTAAATAATTTAAAAATATTTTTTTAAAAATTTTTGCATATATAGGCATGACAAGTTTTAAACACAATCCGATCTGACAAAATGTAATCATAGGCTTCCAGTAGTAGTTAAATTCCACAAAGGTTGTAACCAAAATCTGGAAATTCCAAGATATTTGATATGTGGCGATTAAAAAAACTGAAATGTTACTTACTTCTCTTAGTGTCATTTTTTGTCTATAAACTCTCTCGTTACATCACCACGTACATCAAGTGTTCTAACTCGTTCTAGCACTTGCTTGGTCTTCAAAACCAATCAAATTTTCCTTCTGTCTTTGGTGAAGCTTATATCCATCATTTCCTGTGTAGATATTGTTTGCTCTGGTCTGTTCTTTCGGCAATAGTCTCTTGCCCTTTAGACAAGATTGTTCTTCTCTTTCTTTCAATATTTTATTCTCACAAATTTTCCTCTCAAATCCATGTTCATGTGCCCTCAAATGGACCTTTTTCTCATCATTTCTCAAATAATCCTTGCCCTCACCGGCTTTTGAAACTGCACCAGGACCAAACTTAATGGTTCTTGAGTTATTGGAGTTTCTAGTTTTCCAAGTACAAGTCCTTGTATTTCTTACTTCCGACTTCTGTCCACTTTGAATCTTTGAGACACCCTTTGAATGTGACTTCTTGTCTCTGTTCTTTATTGACACCAGCAAATTATCCTGAAAAAAACAAACTTATTTACTTAAAAAGTTTCCACCATTTTACAAAAAGAATACATTTTTCAACCATTGGAGTATTACCAAAATAATGAGTAAAATTTATGAAATGGGGGACTCTAAACAAAATTGAATGATAATATAAAAGGGATTCAACAACAACTAACCACATCAAAAAATCCAATCTTGGGTGATGGCATTCGGAGACCAGAAGGCTTCACAGTTCTCGAAGCATCAAATGAAAGAGAATTGATTCCTTTACCATCATGAGAACCAATTGTTTCAGCCACTGATGTTGCTGGAGAGAACCCATCAATGGATACTGAAGGTGATATGAAACAAAAGTTCTTTTCAACAGTTTTGCTTCCCCCATTGACTTCATTTGAAAACAGAGGAATTCTTTTGGTGGGAGCTATTGGGGTCTTAGCTCGACTTTGTATCTTTGGTGGCTTTAGATGTGATGAGAGATCACATCTTCCACTTGCAGAAGAAAACTTTCACAAGTAGAAATGTGTCAGTTTTGTGCCTAATCAAGGTAATCTTAGGCATGCATAAGAGCATACTTCACAATGAACCAGTGCTTCTTCAATACAATAAACAATAATATACATAGAAATATAAGATAAATGTTTTACTATAAAACCTTATACTGAAAGTACTTGTCTATTAAACTCAAATTGAAGTACAAAATTCAAGAGACTCATTTGATCAACAGAAAGGCATACCTTCCATGGTGGTGGAACAGATGATTCTTTAGTGGTCCTCTCTGGTTGATTGCCATTTGTAGTCTGCATTGTGGAAGTTGGCCTGGATTTTACCTGAAATTTTAAGACAAATTGCGTCAATCTGACAAGAAAGCCTAATCTCACAAATAATAAATTATGCAAGAACGAACCTTCAATTTGGGGACACAATCCTTATCTATCCTTTTAGCTGCTGAAAGTATCGAAAAGGTAATATTATTGAGTAAAGTGGAATGCAGAAAATCATCCATGAGTATCTGTTTTTCATGATAATATAGCGGTACTTTCAAATGTTATAAAAGTAATATCAAGAGATAGATGAAGTGCAAATAAAACAATGACAATTACCAATAAAAATATCTTGGCTAATAGTAATGGGAAAAAATGAATTTTGACAGAACCTATGTGCAAGGATAGATCATGTCTTGGGGTCAGGGCAAATTTGATTCCATATACAGTATGTGCAGGATATAGACAAACTTAACAATAACCTTTTTCGATGTTTCTGCAACATGAAGCAACCGAGTTTGATGCTTCCCTTGACTGACGCACTGAAATCTCTATGCTTGCTAATGATGAACCATCACTATCAATGGTACGATTTGACTCAGATGAGATCCTTAGTTCTTCTATTTGAGGAAGCATACCCATTCCGGATTTCTTAAACCCTTTGTCTAAAAGAGATAACTCTTCGGGATTCAAAATTCCTGAGAAAGCAAAGTCCAAAAGTATAAACTTCAACAAAATGAAGCAGAAGGTTTGTAAGAAATATCAAACACACCTTCACTTGTGGAAAAGGCACTGTCCCAAGCTAAACTTTTTCTTAAATTGAACCCATCAGTTACAGTTTTAATTTCAGGTTTCCGATTGTTGAAATACAAATGCTGATACTGCTCATGTTTCAACATGTCACTACTATTCTCAGTGTTCAATGAACTTGAAGTATTGAACAACTCCTCCACTTCTAGAATTCCTGAGAATGAATGAGGTGGTGAATATGTAGAAGACTGAATAAAATCATTTGAATTTATTTCCATATGAATACAAATTATACCAGAACTTGTGGAAAAGGCACTATCCCATGCCAAACTCTTTCGCAAATCATACTTCAGCTCAGATTTTAAAGATTGCAGGTTCCTTTTCCCTATATTTGCTTCCTTCATATCCTCAGCTTTCCCATTACTAAACATGGTAAAACCATCAACCTTCTTTCTCATATCTGATTCTGCAGCCAATTCAATTTTCAACATCCTCAGTTATGAAAGCAAGAAATTCAAAACTGAACAGGAGGAACTATCTCAATACTTAATTCTGCATAAATTAGTCTCCAAGATCTTTTCTCTTTTAGTCAAACCTTTTTTATTTTACTTTTATACAAATCTATTTGCATGAAAAGATTGAGAAAGATAAGCAAAGACAGTTAGCAGTTCAAAATATTTTAATGTTTAGGTGAAATCTTGATAACTATTCCTGAATAAAAGAACAAAATCCCAGAAAAAAGACAGATTCAAATAAACCTCCAAATAAAGAAAGGTATATATACAAAGCAATGTCACATATACTCACCCAAGTAGGGAAGTTCTTGAATGTGTGATACTTTAGCCATTGATCATTATCCTTCTTCCTCAAGATTCGTTTACTGTTATGGGTTTTCTACAACAGAGACAAAGAAACCGATCAAATAGAAATTCAAACACTGCCTATGGTTTGAAAAATCCTATAATATACCAAAATTGTCCCGGTTAATTCAATTGCTTTGATTACAATGCTGATTCGGTCATAATGCACATTCTTCTCATTTGAATGCATTGTATGATATGGGCCCTGAACACGGGCTGATTGATAGGTCTGAAACTATAAGTAAATAAAAGAATTCGATAATCTAAATTTATAAATAAATCATAATTTTGTTTCATTTGATCTTGTATTATACTAATAGGTTGATAGGTAAACTTTGATTATAAATTAAATAAGAAAAATGATAACATGTTTGAATAAAAATAAATTTTAAATAAAAATATATTTTAAAATTTAAGTTATACTAATAAAATTAGTTTTATTTTTAATATAATAATTTAATATAAAAATATAATGAAATGAATTTATTTATTATTAAAGATTTACGTTTTATTTTTATCATTTATTTTTCAAATAATTTAATAATCCAAAATAATAATTTGTTTCAAGCACTAGTTCACGTGAATAGATGATTATTAAAGAAATTTTAAAGAATAAATTATTTTAATATGTTTAAAATAATTTTAATTAATTAATGTTTAAATAATATATTTTATTTTAAAATTTTATAAACAATTCCGATGAAAGATGTTATTATATAACAAATTATGCAATTTTTGCACTATACATCTTATTTCCTTGGCTGTGTTGAACTCTGGTGCATCCCACTATGATCTTGTAAATTCCACACCTATTAAAGGATGTTGAACATCTATTTGTTGATGATGGTAAAAAGTTATCTATTCTCAATAGTTATAAAATTTGTTCGTAACTGAATTTTCGATAATTTCTTTAAAATATGTTATGAGAAAATAGGAAAAACACTTGCAAAAGAACCTCTTAATTATATATAAGTTTTTATCAGTATCAATTAGTAAAATAAAAATCATAGAATATTTTATAAAACAATATTGAGATATATGTTATTATAATTATTATCTGTAGATAATGTTGGCAGGATTCAAATCCATTACCTTAGAATTTGAAATTGATACTCTAACCACTAAGTTATTACGATTTTTTGATAATAAATTACAAATAAATTATATTTATATACAAATAAATATATATTCGTGTAAATATATAAATACAAATAAATTTATATATTTATATATTTTAAATATTTACTGATCGGATATATCCATTGGTAACTAATTGTTAATTTCGGTAACTAATTGTTAATTTACCGATCGGATATATCCATCTGAAACTAATTGTTAATTTATCGAAATTGTTAATTTACCGACTGATATATCCGTCAGTAATTAATTATTCATTTATTGATGGATATATCCGTCTGGTAAGACCAAATTCTACAAATACTTTATATTCATCGGTAATTTCCATCGGTAATCACTCATTTTTCGACAACTACATATCCGTCAATAACTATCCATCGGTAATTAATGATTTTCTTGTAGTGTACAGACCCATATACAAGCATTGGAGAATAATGGGACCTAGACATTGGAAAGAAAAATATTGGGAGCAATTGGATTTGCCAAATTAAGTATAAATATGATGGTTTGGTTAAACAGTTTAAAACCCGTCTAGTGATAATAAGAAACAACTAAGGAATTAATCTTTTCTGGTGTGGAAGATCAGACTAAGTTGCAACCACATAGCATACTAAGAAAAATCCTACTGAACTATAAGCTCTGATACCACTCTGATGGAAAAAACATCATAAAGAACATTACCATTTATCTCCGAGAATTACCCTACTAATAGAGAAATAAGAGAAAAACAATCAACACAATAATATAACGTGGAAACTCCAAAAACCAGAGAAAAACCACAACCATTATCTAATGATAACCAAAGAATAACATTATGTGAAAATACACATAGATAACTCTCTCATGCCTTTGACCCCAAGTACACTCATACTCTCAAAAGCAAGAATTTAAACTAAATATCGTAACACTCTACTACAAAAGTATAAGAAAGGTCAAATACAAGCTTAAAATGTTTTTGACTGGGGTGAGAAACCTCATGGACTTTAAGTTCATTATATAGCTATTATCACTCACTCCATTGCTTATCAAATGCGATGTGAGACTTTTCAAGATGTAATATTTTCATCAACCCAACAATATTACCCTACGTGTTGCATTTTTTGAAGGCTAATCTTTGACAAGGAATTTTGTTTTAAGTGTTGATTGTGATTTACAACTCTATGTTTGGTATGACTTAGATTAGGTTAGTTGTCCTATGACTAGAAAATCTCTTACTAGTTTGGTTTATTCTTTTTGGTAATTCGTTCATCTCATGAAAAACTAAGAAACAACACACTGTCTTGTTCTTTCGCAAAAATATAATATCATTCTATGGTTGTTACCATTTGTGAGTTGAAATGGCTGAAGGAACTCTTATCATATTTTGGTATTAATCATCATAGACCTATAAAACTCTATTGGGATAATCATACTACACTTCACATTGTCGCTAATCCTGTTTTTCTTGAGCGCACCAAACATATTGAAGTGAACTACCACTTTATCCGTGATGAATTTTTGCCATGAACATGTGTCTTCTCATGCTCAACAAGTAGATATCTTCACAAAGACTTAAAAGAAAACTCAATTTGATTGTGTTTTTTCCAAGTTGGATTTTTATAATCCATATACTCCAACTTGAGGAATACCGAGATATATGTTATAATTGTGTCAGTTTGTACAAATTCTATTTAGGAATAGTTGTTATGTGATTAACGAAAAATAATAAACTCTATATACATAGACATAACTTAGTCACCATTATCTTTTATCTTTTAAAAAATAATTTATACTTTGTTTTTATATATTTTTAAAACTTAAACTAATTTTTTATTTCACATATAAAATATCATAAAACATTAAAACTACTGATTAATTTATAACAAAATAAAAAAAAATTATATCAAATTTATATTTTTATGTTATGTTAATTTCTTATACTAATAAATAAAAATAATAAAAAAAATAAATTTATTTATTATTATTTATTTTAAAAATTTATTAGAAGATATCTAATTTATTTTTAAATTTTTTATCTTATACCTTCTTGAACTTACCAACAAAACTAAAAAAATTAAAGAATAAAAAAATTAAAATTTTCATATATATATATATATATATATATATATATATATATATATATATATATGAAATTTTTTAAAAAAAAATTTTGAAAACTAAAAGAGAAAAATTTACAATGTTTATGTTATAAAGTGAAAGTATAGAAGAGAATAATATGAAAGTGAACTATAGTGATAAAATTAAAATATAAAAATGTAAAAAGACAATAAATATAAAAGTGAATGGGTGATGAAAATAAAAAGTAAAAATGTGAAAAAGAAAGATGTACGTGAAGGTGAATGAGTAATAAAAATAAAAAATAAAAATATAAAAAGACAGGATGAGTGTTTAATAAAAAAAATCTGAAAAAAAAAGTGGAGAAAAGAGAAAAAAGTGTACGTAGAAAAAAATCTTAAGAATAAATAAAATATTTATTATAAATAAAAGTTAAGTAAGAAAAGAAATTATTTATATTTATAAAATATTTTTTATTTAATTTAAGAAAAATTATATATATATATATATATATATATATATATATATATATATATATATATATATATATATATATTCTGGCACCAATGCGCATATATAAGCGTGAAGAACAAAGAAGTGATCATAATAAAGAAGAGAAGAATTTATTTATGAAAATTATGCTTACAATATTCAATATTCGATGAGAAGAGAGGGGAAGGCTGGGAAATTAGGCTATGAAGGAGTTGGTCGAGGAAGGTAGAGTTTAAGGCTCCAAGAGAGCTGTAAATTCTACTTTAGCAACTGACTCTTTTATAGACCTTCAGATGTTTCTATTCAATTATACAACTGGCACACTGTTAACAAGTGGCCGACCAAAGACATAATTACAAGAGACACCTATACTAAAAACAAACGTAATTACAACTGGCACACCTTTTACTTTCGGTGGCCGACGCTAAAAACAAAATTACTTCTGACTTTTCAACTTGGTGGAGCCCCTAGGGAATCCATTGATTCTTCTTCTGAAAGAGATGGCTTTAGCATCCTTTGGGCGATGGGCCTGATAAGCCCAACTTCTTACTGAGATGTTTTTTCTTAAAAGGATATTTTTTGTGGGTCATCTTCTAATTTCTTCATAATATCATGAATTTTTCTTTGTATTTCTTCTTTTGTTGGATGAATTAATTGCTAGAACTGATTGAAATCAACTTCTTCTTCTTCATATGGATCTTGTGCGTCTTGGATATTGCTGATGGCTTCTTCTTCTTCTTCTTCATCTGATCCTAAAGAGGATAAGGCTTCGAGTATTTTTAGTTTTAATTGGGCCTTTTCAATCTTTGAGGTGATAAATCTATAATAGATTTTCCTTTTTCTTTTATGGCGGGTTTTTCTTTTGGTATTGGGCCTTTGAGGCCCATTTTCTTCAAGTTTTCGAATTTTTCTTCCACATACTGGACTTCAAATTTCTTCCACCAAAA